AAACCAAACAGAAAAGCGTATTTTGTCTTATTTACGTTAGATCTGCAAATGGCAGAAGTTACATAAATAATAATATTATATAATTAATATTAATAAATTATGTGTGTATCAAACAAAAGGAGATTACCATTATTATTATGGAGTCTATTACAGCGATTAAGATGCACAATTATTCATATACAGAATGAGTTCATTGTTAGCTTTTCTCGAATCAGTACGATAACCTTTTTAACGTGTGCTTATTTGCAATAGATGTCACATCTTTTTGTGCCGAGATCGGCGCCTGGCATGTGATATGCATAATTGTCCGTAAATGTTTAGGTGTCACTTTAATCCCGTAATATTGTAATATCTTACACTTTTACTTTCACATTTAATTAACTGTTGGAATGGCCGCCAACTTTTGGGCTTCTACTCATGGGTAATTCTAATAATTGACGATTTAATAATGTGTTCGTTCTCATAACCGATATTTACGTTCAAATGACCCTGTCTCACCGAATTGTTATTGTATAGGCAGTGTTGGATGTTGGATGAAGCCAGTCTCAGGAAGAGTCGGGAGACCGATCTGAAATATTTAAAGGAGATTGAACTGGCCAAAATAAGGGTGCATTTTGTGTGCTGTGAGTTCCTTTCTTTGTAAGGGAAAGATGATGTTGTTTTGTTCCGAATTTGACCAATTAGTTCTCATATTTAGTGATTACTGCACTGGGACGTCGTTTGAACGTTCGTCAGGTCATTATTGCTACCGCCATAACTTATTTTAAAAGATTTTATACAAAGTAAGCGAATACTTTGGCTTGTTTTAATCGTTTCCATAGCGTTGCTGTCATTCACTCGCTAACTTTACCTATCGTTTTTGTTATTGGTCGATATCTTTTTGTCAACTATCCGTCGTTTGTTCAACAGAAACGGCTATAAAAACACAGATCCATATCTGGTTGCTGCAACTTGCATGTATTTAGCGTGTAAAATGGAAGAATTTCCTCAGCACATCAAGTCGGTTATACTAGAAATGAAGAACGTTACTGCCGGTGAGTGTTTACGTACAGCGTCCAAGCAAATATCGACTTGATCTTCTCCCTACCAACTCTCTACAATGAGAACTTACATCTTCGTTTCTTACTTATTTTCTCCACCCAATATTCTCGTTTTCCTCGGCATAGATCAAGGAGGCTTTGCTTACGATAACCAAAAAGTGGCAGAGATGGAATTTTACCTCCTCGAAGAGCTTGAATTCAATCTTATTGTTTATCATCCGTACCGCACACTGAAAACTTTAGCTATAGATCTAGGACAAAAGAGCGATGTCATTCAGCGAGCGTGGCACATTGTGAACGATCTGTTTAGGACAGACATTTGTCTTGTATATCCGCCATATATGATTGCTATCGCAGCTGTAGGTTTTGTGATTATGATAAAAGAGGCAAGAGCTAATCACAATGGCATAGATACAAGAACAAGAAAAGGGAATGGGAGCGTGGGAGGGATTGGAAGCGGGAGCAGACATGAAGGAAGAGGCATTTCCGGGATTAAGGAATTGAAACAGTGGTTTTCCGGATTACAAGTCGATATGGAAAAGGTAAATTATGTGTTCCACTTTTGTTTAGGAGGGGATAATAGGGCTGATGAAATGACAGGACTAAATAAGGAATATGGGAATAGTATTTTCTCTGTCGACTTTCATTCAACGGCTTTTATTTTCGTAGGTATTGGAAATAATAAGAAATATCAAAAATCTTTATTCACAATGGCGTGAAGTAAATGAAATCAAGGCACAAGATGTATTGCGAAAGTTGAGAGAAGCTCAGAATAAAAGTTGATTGTTCATTGCATACAGTGTATATTTAGAATTAAAGAGAGAACACTATTAGATGATGAATTATTACGAAATAGAATAGAACAAAGTGTCTAGGTAAATGGTGCAGGTTTATATAATCTTTTCTTGTAAATAGATTGAAGTAGCGGAACTACTGAATAAATAAGACGGTGTTTAAACTTGTTTATGAGGTCGTCATTGATAACATTTTACTCGAAAAAGCTTGCCGTTATTGTCCACAATAAAAGTATTGAAACTTAATCTAACCATCATGTCTCTTCGTAAACTATGAGTACTTGCCATTATCGTCAAGCCTGATATATTACAGTTCATGTTCTATAAACTTTTCTATTTCTTGCGATATAACGCACGTCTTGCCGCTTTAACGATAAGATTTGTGTCAGGAAACGATAATTCTTCCAGATTATGTGCATACGGAGTTGGGATGTCTGCAATAATATTAAATACAATGAGAATTATACCGCTTGTAAGATAAAATCAAAAATGACGTTGAAGAAAAATGATAAATTGTTATCGTGAAACGAATGTGCGCTTAATGAATCATTACGAGGAAAACTCACCAGCCCCAGTTAATCTCTCAACAGGAGCGTCCAAGTAATCGAATGCTTCAGTCTCCATAATTAAAGCAGAAACCTCGGCTCCAAATCCAAAGTGAGGAAAACCAGTCTCGACCGTCACCAGGCGATTGGTCTTCTTCACGCTGTTAATGATGGCATCAACGTCGAGTGGCCTTATACTGCGCATATTAATAACTTCGACAGAAACGCCGTCTTCCGATTCGAGTTTTTCTGCTGCTTCGATGCAGAAATTGAGAGTCCTCGAATAAGAAACTATTGTAATGTCTTTGCCTTCACGAAGTGTGTGGGCTTTGTCAATGGGAAGAACAAAATCTGGAGATAGAGCTTCAGGAGACATCGGGAAGGTAATGCCGTATTGAAGTTCATTTTCGAGAAAGACAACTGGGTTCGGATCTCTGATGGCAGCCTTTAATGGTGAAAAGCATTTAGATTAGCTGCGAAAAAAAAAAAAACACAACAAACGAAACGATCTATATAAACTGATGAATTTCGTAATTACTTTTAATAGACCCTTCGCGTCCTCGCTATTCCATGGTGATACCACTTTCAATCCAGGAATGGCTCCATACCATGAAGCATAGTCTTGAGAATGTTGAGCAGCTACACCAGCAGCAAACCCATTAGGACCACGGAATACTATTGGACATTGTACAGTTCCACCTGACATGTAATGAACTTTTGCAGCTGAATTGATAACTTGATCTATTGCCTATAATAAAAATCGATGAAAAAAACCAAGTACGAATGTGAATACCAAAACTTGTTAAAGATAAGCGGATCAAATCATATAATCGATCACCTGCATGGAAAAGTTAAATGTCATAAATTCACATATAGGCCTCAATCCTGACAAAGCGGCTCCAACGGCTAATCCAGCAAATCCAGCCTCAGTAATGGGTGTATCAATCACTCTCTTTTGACCAAATTTATCAAGAAGACCTTTTGATACCTAACAGGCACATAATATTTGTTATTACTCCCCATCAATTGTGCACATATACCTGACGAGAATAAACATGCTATTGCGATAAATACTTTATATGCTCCATTATATTGACCAACTTCCTCGCCGAGTAAAAAAACTCGTTCATCTCGAATGAATTCTTCTTCCATTGCTATATTTAATGCATCTCGAACTGTCATCTGCTGTTGTACAAAAAGTTAGAAATCCGAAAACTTAAATAATATGTGTAAGTTCATCGAAATAAAAATCTTTGAATTGAATTTTAGCCGTTAATTGTATAACTACATACAAACTATGTTATCGTCACAACATTTCGTTACTATTCTTTGTCTAATTACACAATATTTTGCTTTTCGGCGAGTATACAAGCCAACATTGTTTTCAATATATAGCATACCCACATCGTATCTCAATAAAGACCTACATACTTAAATACTTACAGTGGTATCTGATTTCGTGCTCATCCACCTTTGATGACACCAACTGAACGTAGTAGGTAAGGTACTTTGCTTAGTGCTCTGCATGAGCATGCTTACTCTGTTCGACCGAGCCAAATGCCGTAAGAATGTCATGGTTGCAATTATACCAAATGTCTCAGGTGGATAAGTGTATGTAGAGTGAAATTTGCAGTATCAAACAGATCTTTTAAAGACTTTATCGAACATTCAGATCAACATTGATAAACCGATAATTTTGCCAAATTTCTCACGATCCAAGTCCAGTTTTGATCTACAGATGATTTCCGAAAACGTGTTAATATGAAATGATTATCAGAGCCAATTATAGAATTCTAAATTGGATATCACACAAAATTAAATAATTTTTTTTAGTGTGAAAGAAAAAACGGATTTCCAAATGAGTTTCTATGCTCGTTTGACCCACTCATCAGCAAGAAAAGCATCTTGCCGGGTTCCAACACCACAAATAATCGGATGTTATTTAAATTCACAACCATACTTGCAGTCTCTTATAAATCGCAGTGTATTTTTACGGCTCTCTTGCATTTCACCTCCATTTTCTCGATTTCCTCGCATTCTCTGTTTCTCTCCGAATCGCTTTCTTTCCGGGTTAGCCAACGACAAGGATGATCCCCACGAACGAAGAAAAATCTATCTCAATTTTCGGAGTGCTTTAGCCAAAGGCGATGCTGTTTCTGCAACAGAACATTACACCGCTTTGGCCGATTACAATTTTGTAATGAAAGCTAGCGACCTCCGGTCCTTTCTCCTCCTCAACTGGCGCAAAAATGCAATTCAACTTAATGAACGTTTCTATCCTTCTCGCCCTATTCGTATTGCCATCAACGAGCTAATGTCTCAAGATGATACCTGGGAAGCATTTGATCTCCGGCTTTTTGTTGGTCTGGCTGACTACAAGAATGATCCCAAATTGATGTATGACTTGTACAAGGAGATGCGGAAACAGCACATGATGCCCACGAGAGCTACGATATTTGAAAAGATGTTTAAATGCTTGGAGAGGAATGATTGCTTGGACGAAGCGTTTGAGGTGTTGAAGGATATGACGGCACGGCAGTTTAATCCGCCACATTACTCCATCGAGAAAGCATTGACAAGATTACTGGAGAACGTTGGTCAAGGCGGTGAAGCATTCCATAAAGCTGTCTGGTCCTACAAGCATGCAAAGGAGATCAATGTTATTTTCTCATCTACATACTACAAGAAATTCATTCGTACTGTAGCTGCTAGGTATCCGTTATTAGCAAAGAGGGCGCTTGATGATATGGTTAATGATAAGAATGAACCGAGTCAAGGTGACTACGATGAGGTTTTGAACAATCTAGTTAGAAGAAAGTGTAATCCGGAAAGCGTGTCTGTTTATAGGGAGATGAGAGAGAAGAAGATGATGCCGTCAAAGAGTTCATTTACGCATCTTCTCGACGTTGTCGGGAGATTTGGCAATGCAGAAGTGTTGGACTTGGTATATAGGGATTTAATGGAAATATACTACAAAAATGAAGTGGATGATAATGGTAGATTGCTGCTGGACGGGATCAAAGAGTTGATACTGGATATGGAAAAGAATGAAGAAGATGTCATGAAACATGTTTATGAGCATCACAATGAAGTCAAAAAATACCCTTTATCTCTCGTTCCTGTTTTCCAGTCTTTATTTGTTAAGGGGGAAGACAAAAAAGTATATTCTAAACTTGTAAATTTAATAGAAAATGGATTCGTAATCCATAGCGATTTGTCACATTATATAATAGCGCAATTTGTATGGAGGGATCAATTACCTTTTGCCGAGTCTCTTTTACTCTCATTTCCCCGTTTTATCACACCACCTAGATATACTTATTCAATGGTAGCAAACGCGTTAATACAACAAAACAACCATCCAAAAGCGGAAAGGATTCTGCACGAAATGATTCGGGCTGGGCATTCGATTGATCATTTAATACTATGTGAGATGATTAAGAAATACACTAGAGTGCGAGATACGTCACCGATCAAGTATTTAATCAAATTACTAGAAGATGCAAGAACCAAACAAATGGACTATACAAGCGCGTCAGTGTTACTAGAAGTATATTCGACACAAGGAGACGTAGACAAGGCTAGTGAAATTTGGAACATACTGTATACGAAATACAATGACAGATCATTGAATGCAGCCCTGTCGATGACGTTGGATACTATCCGTAGTCATGGAAATCTAAAATCATTCAAGGAACTCTGGAGTACTGTAGTTCGCGAGAAGAAGATTGTGCTGTCTTCTGCCAACTATCATTCTTATATCAAAACTCTAATCAGATTCAACCTGGTGAACGAAGCAGTAGACGCATTGACTGTTGATATGTCTTATGAAAGCATTACGCCCTCTATAGGAACAGTCGATAGGGTGTTAAGAGCATTGGAGCATCCATCAAAGAGGTCAGTAAAAGTCTGGGAGATGGTGCGAGAAAGATGGCCGAGGATAGAAAGGGAGTGGCAGGCAGCTAAGCAACATAACGTAGATATAGTTGATGTGAGAATGAGAAAGCTACCGAAAAATGTCGCAGTTTTCAATGAAGATAAGGCTAGGAAAGAATACACTAATGAAAGACACCCAACCGAGAGTGAAGATAATCTGAGAAGACATAGAAACGGAAGTAGAGACAATGATAGAGATAGATATAAGGATTGGGATAGACATAAGGATAGACATAAGGATAGAGATACGGACAGAGATAGCGGAGTTGAAAATTATAACAGGTCATTAAATCGGAGAACGGAGAGACTGTCTGACCGGAATGACTCTGAGTGGGAGGAACGAACTAGCAGGAGAGATTATGGACATGCAAGAATAAAAATGGAGCGAACTGACAGACGAAATGATTGGGATGATGATATGCGAGTGAATAAGGATACAAAAGAAGCGAGAGAATATTATCGAAGGATGATGGCCGAATAAGAGAGGATGAGCGAATTGTTAATATCCAAAACAAATTATTAATTGATATTCAAGCTCCGTCGAGAAAGTAAAAGAGAAAGGAAAGCGACGTAGGCAGAACGTGATTGCTTGGAGGGTTCGTTATCTTTGTCGTGTAATAAATTTGTATATTAACTGCTGTTGTTCCATCTTTAAAAGTTAATCTTACTTTTTAATAAATCTATGAACCTTGGTTGCATTGGAATTTCAGTCTCCAGCGTGGGGAACAATCATGTGCGGGGAGAAAGTTTGCAAGATGTAAAGATTTCGGGAATATCCACCTACCCTAAATTAGACTCGCTGATAATGGTCACAGCTCATCGGACGTTCAGGCCAACAGACTCAAAAGAGTATCTAACTATGATGGCCAGTAAAGGTAACATTGTGTAGAGAAGCCAAAATAACATTACACGTCATAGAACGCCACAAGGAAATGGAGATAGAATTGATCCGTAAGCAAGCATTGACGCTACACTTCTTAAAAGTAACAACGTTCCATGTATTAAACTTCGAATAAACTACATTCTGCATAGCTTCAGGTTTCCCATTATCCCAAAGAACTTTATAGCGTGAATGAACCTCTCTACGTTTGCAAGACTCGCTCACGTAGCTTCTCCTAAAATTCTAAACACCCGGCGGACAGTCAGTGCACCTACATTATCGGATACTACAGTGACATATTGCCGCGACGCTCTAACAAATTCCTTAACGTGTATTAGGAAATTGGTAGACGCGGGTATGTCCGAATGGTGGGGGATTGGAAGAAAAAAAATCTCGGAAAGTAGACTGTGGCAAGGTTGAGGAACTCTGTGAGCTCATAATTAAGCATAATAGAGGCGTGACGTTATTATTAGAAGAAGACTTACATCGTTAATATCATTGATCAGATCGGAAGAAATGGGGACACCAGATTGACCTAAGACCCTGTCGCTTTAAACATCGCCTCCAAAATTGAAACCGCATGAGATTATAGCAAGTGGGTAATCGGTAAACTATTCTTCATGTCTCTGGAACACGTCGCAACTATTCTGGGAACGAAGCCTTCAGCCAATGCTCTGATACGATTAAAGGGCTAATAGGCTCGCGGTATGCCAGTTCTGGAGAATTGTTGATTCGTTGCAGAATGGGTATACAGACACGTTGACCAACAATGAAGTCATACAGTATGAGATAAAAATCCGTAATTACAAAAATCACGCATTACGCAAATGAAAATTTATAACATTCGAAGCAGGTTTAATTAATATGGAATGCATTCACAGATAAAAAAGTGACATTTGCTTTAAGGCTGTTAGAAGTATAGTCTATAAATATAAATTCAGGCATGTTGTCCCGAAAAAGTTTTGCTTGCGAGGTGTCTAGTTGTCTCCGGAGTATGTGTACAGTAGTAATAGGCACATTGTCTAATATCACGACCAATAAGCAACATTTAATCAACATTGTTTATGTGATAATAGCGAAATGTGCTTATTTCGAACTTTTTGATCGGGCTACGGTCCATCAATTTGTCAGATAATCATGTCTCAGCAAAACACACTTCTTTCAGTAACTACCCATACCTCAGCCTCTCCAGCACTCATTATCCCATCTTATTTCCCGCCTTTAATCTTTTCCTATCCATCCATTTTCTCCCATGTCTACGATTTATCCTCTAATCTCTTTTCCCTCATTCCTCTCCCATCCCAATCACCAGTTTCTATAATTCTTCCCAATGGTCTCGAATTCATAACTTGCTTTTTCGCTATCACCTTCTCTCGACATATTGCTGCGCCATTAAATCCAGCGTATACGGAAACTGAGTTTAAGTTTTATTTAGAGGATTCAAAATCAAAATTCATTATTGTCCCTAAAGGGTGGTGCAAGGAAGATAAACCAGCCGTTAAAGCTGCAAGAGGGCTTGGAATCGACGTGGTTGAGATCTGGTGGAATGAAACAGATGGAAAAATCGGGGTTACAATTGACGGAAAGGAAGGAAAACAAGGACAAAACATCAATCCGAGAGAAGTGAGTAGTAAAGTCGAAGAGAACGACGTTGCTTTATTGCTGCATACATCAGGAACTACTGGACGACCAAAAGGTGGGGACTTTAACTAGGTTATCTATTGAGCGTTTCCATTGACTGATTGCTATTGAGTACACAGATGAATTATACTTGCCGCATTTTTAGCGCACAGATTCTGCTCATCTGAAAGAAACACGCTTTTTCCTCTTGCTTTCCTATTAATCAATTTTATCTCTACACATACCAATTCTATATTTTTGCACTAGCCGTTCCATTGACTCACAGAAACCTGACTAGAACCATGAAAAACATAATTCGTACTTACAACCTGACTCCGTCTGACAGAACTCTTCTAGTCATGCCTCTATTCCATGTGCATGGTTTAATCGGAGGATTATTGTCCACATTATTGTCGGGTGGGACTGCGGTTGTTCCGCCGAGATTCTCGGCAACAACATTTTGGAATGATTTTACAAAATTTGGGTGTACTTGGTATACAGCAGGTATGAAAAGACGGAAAAGGTGATGAGGTTGAGACCCTGGGTTATTTAATGATCCGATTACGCATATGCTATAGAATGCTTACAATTTTACGCGACACCTTTCATCTGTACGCAAATGCGTCGTTTCTATACACATTACTTTATCCAAATCTGTCACTTTCCTTTTCTGGTTATCTTATATTTCCTCAAAACCTAACGTTTTTTAGTGCCTACGATTCACCAAATCCTATTACGTCATCCTGTCTCATCTCCGCTACCCAAAATCCGCTTCATTCGTTCCTGCTCATCTTCTCTGGCTCCATCCGTACTTCATTCACTCGAGTCGACGTTCAAAGCTCCCGTTCTTGAAGCATATGCTATGACTGAGGCTGCACATCAAATGACGTCAAATCCCTTACCTCCCGCAATACATAAACCAGGATCGGTTGGAATAGGGCAAGGTGTCGAGATCGTCATATTAGATGAAAAGGGAAATAAAGTGAAAGAAGGAGAAGTATGCGTAAAAGGAGAGAATGTTACTCGGGGATATTTGAATAATGCAAAGGCGAACGCGGAAGCCTTTACAGAAACCGGATATTTCCGCACAGGGGATCAAGGTTACCTCGACTCTGACGGATATTTACATCTGACTGGACGGATAAAGGAGTTCATAAACCGTGGTGGAGAAAAGATTTCTCCTCTCGAGATTGACGCAGCCCTTCTTTCGCATCCGGATATAGTTGACGCCGTATCTTTTGCAGTGCCGGATGAAATTTATGGTCAGGAAGTTTGGGCAGCCGTTGTGATAAAAAATGGGAAAGACGGGCAAGTTAGCGAAGATGACGTGAAGACTTATGTTAAAACGAAGATTTCGGCGTATAAGGTTCCAAAAAAAGTAGTGTTTACAGAGGTAATGCCTAAAACAGCAACTGGGAAGGTTCAAAGGAGATTGGTTCGAGACAAGTTTTTTGCAAAGGACAAGGCAAAATTGTGAATTGAGGAAGCGCCGATATTATGTATATTGGAATAAATTAGTTACTTTTTCAACATCTGTGTATATTATTTTCCGCATTCATGTCACGCAATAAATTTTTTAAATCCATTTTGAAATCAGAAGTATTATACAGTTAGTATTAGTACGCATGGTCGCCACAATTTACGGCACAATCGGAAACAAAATTGGCGGTTATAAAATCGAGCCGCGTAGTTGCACAAATGTGATTAGACAATGAGCATCTCAGATAATCGTGTATTTGTCACGTGAAAATAACTAACGCGACATAACACGACGGCTTTTTTCCCTTTATTGGACGAGTTCATTTTTTCTTTTCACAACTACCCTGGTTATATTGGTAAGTTTTGTGGCTCAACTTGCGATCCGACTATTTTTTTTCCAAGTTTATGTCTGATGTTTCCAGCTCTTCTCTCTTACCTGAACGAGCACACAAGCTGGTCGTACTACGAGTTTCTGACTCTTTACCGTGATGTCATTGTATTGTCACCTCCCTTTTCGGATGAGTGGAATGGACTTGACGGCTCCTGGACACGCAGGTTCCTAAAAAAAGCGGAAGACCTCAAACCAGAAGAATTTGAGGATTTAAAGGTCAAGTTATCTTTTTCTCTTGTTTAATCTAAGGAGCTTCTGATCAGTCTGCGTCCTGATCAAAAGTATCAGTCTGCGTCCTGGCCCAAGTGATGGTGGTGGCACTCCTGATCAGTCTGCGTCCTGACTCAGGAGTATCAGTCTGCGTCCTGAGCCTCACCATTGCGAATCTGCATTTTCTTGAAGTTGTTATTTGCTGTAAGCTCGCCGTTGTATTGTTTTTCATTTACTTTTCATTATTGCCTTTCCTGCAACAGGTGGATCTTGAACGTTCGGGCAAAGGGTTACAGGCCTATTGGGAGGGAGTAATCTATAAACGGAAGAAGGTAAATCGAATTTTGTATATTACTGCCTTTCATTCTTACCAAGATGTCGCTAACCTTGACCAACATGCAAAATAGCTTGCAGTGAAACGACAGCAACTAGAAGCTTATTCACACCATTCTCGCTTCGTCGGACAACTTGAGCAAAATTATATCTTAATTAATACTATTAATGACGGTTTAATTTTCAAAATGTGTTTCTAGCAGTTATTTTGCTAACATTTATTCACTTTACATTATCATTTGTCAGGATAATTCTGCGGAAATTCGACTAAAATTATAAATACCCGCCCATACTGTATTTTATTTTGCGCAAGTATAATGTGATCTCACTTTCTTTAAGGTGTTGTGCAATACCAATGAAGCTCATAAGCAACATTGAGTTTCCGGCGAAAATTGTGACGCACCACCCTTACTTTACGTGGGGGGTTCAAAAAGTTTTGACACAGTGTACATATTTCAGCAACCACTGATCGTCTCAGCTTTATAAATAT